AACAGATCCTGTGGACCTTCAAGATCTCCTTGTCATCATGTTTTTGTGGGCCATGAAGGGCTCCGTCATCTGGGGACACATCTTACTGAGGTGTTGTTCCTGTAAATATGAGCCTTTGGGATGCCCAGAGGTTCATTTCTATGTTCCATGATGATGACTGGTTGATGTCTTTGAGTGGACACAGAGGTGCAGTGCTATTTTGGTCCAGAGGTTTCATGCTATACTGGATACAGTCAAAGAGTAAGCATCTTGTTTTTGTTTCTATTTAATGCACTTTTGTGTTGTAATCTTGCACTATAAGCACAATATCAATAAAGTTTGATTATCTGATTGATTAAAAATAGAGGTCCTGTGTGAATGTTTGTGTGTGTGTGTAGCTGCACAGCCCCAGTGTTCCCGTGGTGCTCACCGCGTTCCCTGTGTGTATTTATCTGAGTGTGATAGTATCTGTGTATTCTGTGAACCTGCCTTACACAAATCTCACTTGCTTCTCTGCGGCTACAAACACACACACACACACCCCACCTACACCCACACCCCGCCCCCCTGTCACTGACACACGCCCACCGATTGGCCGCTGTTGAAGCAAGGCATAAGCTGTTCCCTAGCAACAGAGCACTGGTTAACCAATAGGGGGCCTTCTGTGAGGAAGGGGCTAGTTTTCCAGTCTGCTGTTACTAAGGTGCAGAGAGGACCGCTGGGGTTCTCTCTCCGCCTGTATATCTGTGTGTGTGTGTGTTTTCAAGTAGCAGGTAGCAGCAGCTACTAAATTACAGAATAACCGACTTCATTTACTGAGCCAGTCATCACACTGTTGCAGACAAATTTGTATTAAAATTAGCAAGTTGTGTGAGGATTGTGGAACTGTCTTTAACAGTTTACACACAAGTAGCGTGTGTGTGTGTGTGTGTGTGATGAGAGAGAGAGAGAGGAGAGAGAGAGAGAGAGAGAGAGGGACAGAGAGAGAGAGCTTGTATTCATAATGTGCTCACTGCATGTCTGTAGTGTGCGATGCGTGGCTTTCACTTGCTGCTGATTTTCCTGTTAGTTTCATTAGCTAATGCTGCGGCCGTATTATCATCCAGGATTAGCATGGCTGGGGCCGTCCACCAGCCTGAGTCAAGACGTAGCCAAAAAATTATATTATAGCAGCGTAATCCTCCCTGCTTGCTCATAGTACAAAAAAATCTTTCTTTATTTCACAAGGTTAAACCTCGTGCCTCTTCCCCAGGATTATCTTAATATGTGGGATAACATTGTGTTATGTCACTGGGGATGGAATGTATCCTCATTACAGTGGGCAACAAATCCTTTTAGTCAAATCAATGTGTGGCAGTGACATGACAGATATGACAAATGCACCATACAGCTGCTATCCAGGGTGATATTAAGGCCAAACAGAGGCTTGCAGAGGTTTAAACTACTGAAATTTAAAGCTGCTACAACAAAGATTTTCATACCAACAATGGATAAAAGGACTACCTGTAAAGCAAAATGGGTTGCTCATATGATGAACCTACAGAGAATTAT